AAATTTTTACATACCGCATTAAAGTCGTTATTCAGACTTTCTGCCGTCAAAGAGCGAACACGATATATAAATTCATTGCTATTTAACGCCTCCGATGACCCGTCAAATTTTAAATGCCAGTTTTGTATAATCGTGGTTATTTTATCGGGCCGCGTGGGCGGAAAGTTAGCAGCTTGAAAAGCTTGCTGATTTTGTCTCACTTGGTTAATAGTCGGACCATCCGCTAAATCTGGGTGATTGGATTGCATGTTTAGGCATGTGTACGATTGTTTCGGTTGTTTGAACCATGCATGTTGTCATTAAAGCTCATTAAGGGCAAACTAAGATTTTGGGCATTATTCGCGGTTGACTGATGTGTGGCATTCGTTTCACCATAAAGTCGGCGTCTAGAATTTCGGGTATTGTACTTTGAAACTGCTCCTCCCCTTGCCTGAGGGTGCAGATTACGATTTAAGGCACGCGCCTCGTTACCAACTTTTCTGGTAGAAATCTTATGTAAATCTCGTGAGTGGCAAGCTCGTCTACACTGAGGACACTCTTGTGAAGTGGCCAACCAATGCTTGATACAGTCCGTGTGATAAATGTGATTGCATACTGTTCTCGAACATTCTTGGTCTGATTTCATGTCCTGTTGACATATAGCACATATATTACTATCGCCCTCTGAATTTTCAGGTAAAACCGAAATATTCTCATTGCTGTGAACTACTGACATTGCAATTTATACGAGTTTACAAATTTCCAAATTAAAATGTGATCTTTTTGGTAGTAACTTTTGTGAAGGGTAAATGATTATTTATTCGACTGAGAAGGAATTCTAGCTAAAATTTAACTGGGCTATTGCGGAAGAATGTAACTGCGACAATTCATTGCTTTTAGTAGATGCTGATTTCGGACTAAATAATGATCTAGAGCCAGTAATTTAGTAATTCCAAAGTAATCAATTCTACTTTCAGTATACGTTCAGTCACTGCGTTTCTGCAATTACACTAGGATTTATTTGGTAAAATCACTATATTTTAGTTCCTGCATCACTACTTTGTAGCCGAAAAGTAATTAAGGAGAGCCAAGCGGTCGATATACTGAGACTTTAACACACTCCGTAGTCGAAACTCCAGCGAGGATCCAAAACTTTTATGTAAAGTGAGGAATTTTTAGAAAAGCATTAATAAAAGGAGAGACTAGTGCACTGTGGAGCTAACGATATTTATCGCAGATGTTACGCGAAACGACAAAAACTTTTTATATTATTAACCGTTTGGGAAAAAATCTAATTTTCAATTTTCCAAAAATTAATTGTCAATAACCGTAAGGCCCCACGTTGGGCGCCATTTGTAATGATTTCTTATTATTTTACCGGGGTAATATCGAGTAGATGTC